ATTAGAGTTATTGTGAAATCCTATGCGTTATGTGTTGTGCAGGCATTCAAACACTACTATAAACACTGCAAACACTATCGACACTACAATAACACATCCAAAGCTGTATTTGTTGTCGTTTTTTACACAACAATTCACTCGTCATTACAATCAAAACAAAGACACAACACATTGTCATCACACCATTCACTGCTTGTCCATCACTGACCACTCAAACTGTCACCAATGGATTCACTGCGAGAACAAGTGATGATCAATCAGTTCGTGTCAGCGGCCGGTTGTGCCCGCGATCAGGCCATACAACTGCTCCAATCAACGCACTGGCAGTTCGAGGTATGATCACCTAATCACCCCTACATGACCACCATATGATGATGATGATGATCGTCACCACCAACTCACCCATTGTTTTATCTCTTAGACGGCGCTCAGTATGTTCTTCCAGGAGTCCAATGCCTGCCATTCAAACCCACACTTTAAAGCCGTGAGTCTTTCTTTTCATCACTATCTCTATCCATGTCTTCAGTCATATCATATGAATGGCAGTCATATTCAATACAAACATATATTACACATATTTATAGTACAAATTGCATTCAATTCCTACGATATTCTCGTCATTTAAAATGAATACATTTGTCACAATAAATGGTTAGCGGTTTAGGGATCAGATAATGAGAGGTCTTGTGTGTTGAGTAGTCATCGCACGGGTAGTGGTTATGTTTACCTATGCTTTTGTATGTGTATCACACAAAACACACCACCATTTGTTGCCATTTCCTTAATATAATAAGCACTAAGACTGGACCACAAGATGTACTATAGGTCTTGAACAGGACCACTGATGGCCAACTTGTAACCCTGGTCACTCTAATACTAATCTATATAACATATACTTTAACTTAATGAACAGTCCAAAACAAATAGGAACTTCACAAACTAACGTAAAATTCGGAATATAACATTCCATAAATATCCTATAGTATATAATAACTGATTAATACGTAAGTAAAGAATATAATTGCTAATATTTGTGTTAATTTGTATATTTGGATCAATTTATAAGATGTTATATGAATTGGTGTCAAAATGCAATTGTATTGAATGTTTAAATCTAGACTCAATTTAGACAAAATTGATTCAAAAGTATTGCGCAAAACAAGTATTAATCGCATCACTAATGAAACCCATATTTATTATAAGCAATGCTTTACTGTAAGTGTTATATAAGTTATTAATATTTATATCAATTCAATGTTATCTTGCATTTGATTTCTTTATAGTAAGTAAAAACAACGCTTTGATAATAAAGTCGAGAATAGTATTGAATAGAAATGATTGCATTTGATTTGTAAATAAGGTTAACGACCGCACAACTGATGTTTATTTATTATTTGTTTGTTTATATGAAATATTTCATTGAATTGGTGTTCAATTGAATTCACTGAAAAGCATTAGACAAGTGATAGAAAAGTCTTTAAAACTGGATTTACTTATAGTTGAAAGCAATGAGAGATGAATGCATTTATAGCACATCCAGTCATGACAACCAGTTTGTTGTTGTGACCAATATATCTATATATCTATAATCCTATATTGAAAGCAATTTGATAACTATGTTGACCTCAAATAATAAGAAATGAATGCATAATTAGTCAATAATATATGATATCCTATAAATACCTTACAATATAAGGCTTAAAATGCAATCAAACACTTCAAGGATAAACAAAACCTGACAAGTAATTCAATTTCATATGGTTATATAGATTAGTATTAGAGTGACCGGGGTTACAAGTTGGCCATCAGTGGTCCTGTTCAAGACCTATAGGTACATCTTGTGGTCCAGTCTTAGTGCTTATTATATTAAGGAAATGGCAACAAATGGTGGTGTGTTTTGTGTGATACACATACACACAAAAGCATAGGTAAATATAACCACTACCCGTGCGATGACTATCCAACACACAAGACCTCTCATTATCTGATCCCTAAACCGCTAACCATTTATTGTCACAAATGTATTCATTTTAAATGACGAGAATATCGTAGGAATTGTATGCAATTTGTATTATAAATATGTGTAATATATGTTTGTATTGAATATTACTGCCATTCATATGATATGACTGAAGACATGGATAGAGATAGTGATGAAAACAAGACTCACGGCTTTAAAGTGTGGGTTTGAATGGCAGGCATTGGACTCCTGGAAGAACATACTGAGCGCCGTCTAAGAGACAAAACAATGGGTCAGTTGGTGGTGATGATCATCATCATCATATGGTGGTCATGTAGGGGTGATTCGGTGGTCATACCTCGAACTGCCAGTGCGTTGATTGGAGCAGTTGTATGGCCTGATCGCGCGCACAACCGGCCGCTGACACGAACTGATTGATCATCACTTGTTCTCGCAGTGAATCCATTGGTGACAGTGTTTTCGTGGTCAGTGATGGACAAGCAGTGAATGGTGTGATGACAATGTGTTGTGTCTTTGTTTTGATTGTAATTGTTTTGTAAAAAACGACAACAAATACAGCTTTGGATGTGTTATTGTAGTGTCGATAGTGTTTGCAGTGTTTATAGTAGTGTTTGAATGCCTGCACAACACATAACGCATAGGATTTCACAATAACTCTAATGTTGTTGTCATTCAAACACCAAAACACTGTATTAAAGGAAACCAAACACAACACACCACTAGTGACCACTCCATACACGTCTCGACCACACATACACTCGAACACAACTCCATACACACCGAGCAGTCGATGCGCGAGAGGCAGAGCCCGAGAGGGAGAGCCCGAGCGTGAGGTGTGATCACTGGTGTGCGTCACTCACAGCCTTGACTTACAATTGGATGCAAACATAGATTGCTGTCATTTAGTGACAACAAAAACATTGAGTCTCTCAGACATTACGTGACGGCTATTACGGCATTCACTTGTGAGTAGAGTTGTGTGCGGTTGTGGTCTCATGTTGTCTGTTGTCTATGATATTGATATCTGATTAGAGTAACTGATCCCGTGGTGATTGTTGGACATGGAGTTGGCGGACATGGAGTACCAGCAGATGGAGTACATCGAGACGGCGTCTGGCAATAAGGTGTGCCGGCGGTCGGTGTTGTGTGGGTCGCAGAACATCATGTTGATGGGCAAGACCGTCATCCAGAGCCACTGTATTATCCGCGGAGACCTCGCAAACGTCAAGATCGGTCGCCACTGTCTCGTCTGCACCGGTGCTGTCATTCGCCCGCCTTTTAAGAAGTTTACTAAAGGGTAGCCAAAGTTGTCATCATTTCAATCACTGTAACTCTAATATGTATTCATGTCTTAGAGTGGCATTCCTTCCGATGACAATCGGTGACAATGTCTACATAGGAGAGGACACTATAGTGAACGCCGCGTCCATCGGTTCCTATGTATATATCGGCAAAAACTGTGTGATTGGCAGACATTGTGTACTAAAGGACTGCTGTCTCATAGCGGACAACACAGTCCTCCCTCAGGGGACAGTTGTGCCCGCATTCGCCGTTTACAGCGGCTCTCCCGGACTCTTCACATCAGAACTTCCAGAATGTACTCAAGACGTGATGATAGACTTCACTAAAGGATATTATCAACACTTCAAACCAAAAGCAAATTAATTTATTTCAAATTCATTGTTCATACAAAATAATGATTACAGTAAAGCATGTGTTGTATTGAGAAGTGATTAATTGACTTATTTATTGGTTTTAAACCATTTCGGGACTTTCGGGTCTTTTGGACCCGAGAGTTGTGGCTTTTCTTGTGAACTGCCGCTCACATCAGCATCGCTTGCTTTCACAGGCTTTCGCGAATTCAATGCTATCTTTGCGGCCGATTTGTATGAACTGATTTTGTCCAAAAACTCATGTCTAATCATTTTATCATCGGGTTTACAAGATTTAGATCCAAATTGTACGACAGCCGCAGGAACTAAATTACTATCAAATAGTGTCGATTCGGCATTCAATTCATGTTTGGGTGGAGTTGTATATAAATAGAATTGATTGGGTATCACATAACTGCTAACTGTCCGCATAACAGTGTCCACGGTGTCAGTTGGCTTAAAAATGGCCTGAAATATGAGACCCGGACTCTTCACATCAGAACTTCCAGAATGTACTCAAGACGTGATGATAGACTTCACTAAAGGATATTATCAACACTTCAAACCAAAAGCAAATTAATTTATTTCAAATTCATTGTTCATACAAATTAATGATTACAGTAAAGCATGTGTTGTATTGAGAAGTTATTAATTGACTTATTTATTGGTTTTAAACCATTTCGGGACTTTCGGACCCGAGAGTTGTGGCTTTTCTTGTGAACTGCCGCGAACATCAGCACCGCTTGCTTTCACAGGCTTTCGCGAATTCAATGCTATCTTTGCGGCCGATTTGTATGAACTGATTTTGTCCAAAAACTCATGTCTAATCATTTTATCCTCGGGTTTACAAGATTTAGATCCAAATTGTACGACAGCCGCAGGAACTAAATTACTATCAAATAGTGTCGATCCGGCATTCAATTCATGTTTGGGTGGAGTTGTATATAAATAGAATTGATTGGGTATCACATAACTGCTAACTGTCCGCATAACAGTGTCCACGGTGTCAGTTGGCTTAAAAATGGCCTGAAATATGAGTTTATCATTTCCAAAGCAGATGCGGACAACAGTGGACTTATATCTAAGCATTTCATTCCTCTTTCGTTGTTCTCTCATTTGTTTCGTTTCCATCATTCTCTCGCCTCTAAACATGACATTCATTAGATTAAAAGCATTGCTTCACAAACATTATCATCACTTACTGTTGTTGTCGAAGTCCTTTGAGAACAGTGACCAAATCATCTTGGGTAGTCTCATAGAAGTTGTCCGGATAATCAATTTTCATCACTTTTGGCAAATCAGAGATTGAGATAAAAATGCCCTCATTATTGTCTCCCAACTAAACCAATCGTAATATAAATTTCATTAAACAAATGACGGACTTAAAAGTTAGTCAAAAGTTACATAATTAAGGATTTCAGGGCCTTCATCGCAACTCTCTTCAGATTCCGCTTCCATTTGTTGACAATTGTCTTCTTCAATGCCTTTCGTTTCATTGGCTAAAGAATACTTGTTTTCTGACACTTTTCTGTCATAGATTATCTCCTGTTCGGGTTCTATGTGTTGTTCTGGTGGTGAATGTGATGATGACTGTGGCGGAGGCATAGATGCGGCAATCATTTGCTGTGGCGTTGAGTTGGTCTCACAATTTGAAAGTCTTTTGCTCAAAGCATCCGGTTTTCGTAATATTAGTGATTCAACAAATGGGTTCTCTTTGGGTGACTCCACAGCTCTCACAACTAATCTCATGACGGCTTTCCCTCGAAATAAACCCAAACCTTTCAAATTTGTTTTCTTTAACTCAGTTTCTCCTAATATCTATAAATTTAACAATTATTTAAAAATGTACGGTATATGCAATTGATTAAAATATTCAATTCAAACCTCTTTTCGCATATATATTACACACAAATCCATATTTGTGTCGACATTTAAGATAGGATTGCCTTCAAAGACCTTATGAATAATATGCCATAAGTTGTCATTTGATTCAAATTCTTCAATTTTTCGTTCACCGGTTTCCAAATCGATAGCAATCGTTACTTTCTCGTCACATCTCTGAACGGTTGACACTCTTAAGTCTAACTGTCCATTGTTTGGGATGTTTGCAAATCGGATGGTTAGACTCAAGTCCACGGGTTTGTTATTTCGACTTTTTAATCACATTATGAAGAAATACTTATTTAATCTCATTGTATGAGTATTATAGGCTAACTCAACACAAGTGGTAACTTACGATAATTCGTAATCTTTTGAATCCAACTTTTGTTTCTCACAAACCGTTTCTAATATCTGATTAATAAATGAACAAATTTCATATCAGTTTAAATTGAAATTTAAATCTTTATTTTAATTAAAACAGTTAATCACTTTTGTCGTTAAACAAAATATCACACAATAAAAATTTCAAACAACTAAATGAATTTGTCAAAAATGAAAAACTTTTATCAATTAATTAAATTTATAAAGAAATGTTTTGTCATAGAAATGCTGGCAATTGTTGAGATGTCTTATTACACGACCAGTTAATAAATGCTTGCCATAAGTCTCAGCATCGGCTCGTTTGCTAGAAATGCCAACTCTGATGAGCCAATCAACTAAATCTTTGCCTCGAAAAACACGATAACTATTTTGATTGACTTTGTGTTCAAATACAATATCTTGAATGCAATTGTATTTATGGAAAGTATTGAATTGATCGCAAACTTCTTTAGTAGCGGGTCTCAGAGCCTCTAATGGGGGCAAAACAATACAAGGGTTGTCGTGTCGACCAGAGTATAGGTTTCTGATTCTATAGAAAACGGGAGTCATATCGAGACCGAAGATAAGAAATGTGATGACTCCCTGTCCGTAATTGAGTAATATATCGAGAAATTCCAATTCTATGAATATTCCGGTCGGTCTCTCTGTCACAAGTTTGCCGATCGAAACGGTTAATCCGATTAACATTGAGGGCAAAAGTGTCAGCAAAAGAAACATATGTTGCGAGAGTTGATGAAAGTCTGAAACACATTCATTCATATGGTGTCCATTCGTGTCGCCGCCTATAAGAGGAGTCATTTCGTTGGCCTCTTCCATGTGCTCACGATATCTGCGAATATGTGTTAAACAGCTCTTTCTTTGAGTCTCTGTACAATTGGATTGTTGACACAGATCTCTAGAAACGGGTCCTAACCCTACGATATCTTCAACTTCAACGAGTGAATAGTCACCATTTGTTTGGTGTGAAGTAGTGATTGGGTTGGAAAAGGTTCGCACTCTACCTCTCCTCACGTTAGGTGAATGAGACGATTGAATCAAATTCTCAGATTCATTCATAAGTTCTTCAGATTCTTGAGAATCCGATTCAAAGTCATCGGAGTTTATATTTAATGTGCGACTAAATGACAATTGGCTGCGAAAATGCTGTTGAGATATGAGACCAACAATTGTTATGATTAGACAACATATGAGTACAACCACTGCAACATATGCTTGAGTGGAGCCAAACTCGAAATTGGGATCAATTACATCAGTGTTTGAATTATTCGGTAAATATATAACCATTAATAAGAGAATTATTACTATAAATGCGACAAAATAAATCATCTTTTTGTGGATTTTGATGACATAACAGAGATTTTTCCAATAAAGAAGTGCTAAAGTGATGGACAACATAGCCGTCCATATTCTAGATGACAGTATACCTCCAACTGATAACACATACTGCAAGTGATGAATCAAATAATATCCCTTCAAAGATGCGGAGCTATCCATGAATTGCCACAAATAGCCTCCCATTCCTGCCATAAGTTGGGAGACACCCAAAGCTATGGTGCACTTATGGGTGAGACTTCGCCATTTGTGGCCACAGAGCAGTACACTGAGTGTCCACAACACACAGAACACACTCATAAGTCCCGAGTAAGACATGGTTTGTCCCAAATCGCTGTGAAATGCACTGAAGGGAAGGCTCTCATTGGCCGACATTCTTATCATATTCGCCGAAACAAACATCAGAGGCGCTGACAAAACAGTTGACATAACCATTCCAGTGGACAGTATGGTTGATGGTATGCCGGAGTCGTATTGAAGTGCAAATATAAATGCTGTCGGCGCTGAGGGGAACGTTCCGTAAAGAAATCCAAAATTACTTAATTCTAACGTTTGATTATTTTGAGAGTCCATTAGATTTTGAATAATCACACGATTTAGAAGCGGAAGAATGAGAATCTTTGTCATCACCAATACTAACGATACCAGTAGTATATACGAGGAAGTGGTGAATATCTTGAGTTTGCCGACCAGTTGTGAGCCCAATAGGAAGAGAGCGGTGGCAGAGAAGGAGTTGGAGAGGACTTGGAGGAGAGGCACTAAGAGCTCAGGTATGGTATGATTGAACATTCGGTTCCAAAGGATTCCCAAAACCGTCATAACTATAATCGGATTCTTAATGATTTGTTTCAACACTTTCAGCAAAATGACGGAACAGTTGTTGAGTTGCAGTCGTTGTCTTCGGCACTGTTTGTCGGTTTCTATGAGCAGAAGACCCATCGGATTCAATAAAACCAATTGAATGGGCGCTAAGACATAGAGATATCCGGCAAACTGTGGGTTGGATTTGGCGTAAAGAGAGGTCAAGAGAGGATAACCCAATGCGAAGTCATTTGATTGGGTGCAGAAAATGCCGAAAAGACCAGATTTGCCCAAATTAGTAGGTTTGGTGAGGATTGCAGTTATGATGACCACTGATAAGAATATTATTGTCTTCGATATGAGAAGACTGACCACAAAATTCCAGTCAATGTGTGATAAGTCAGATGTGGCCAAAGACTGGAAGATAAGGGCCGGCAATGCATAGCAGGACACGAAAGAGCTCAGCCCTGTGTCCGACACTGGGATCAGCTCTAAACGACCGGAGATATAGCCGATCAGTATTAGAGCGAAGCATTGCAACAGAACTGATGCCAAATCAATGACACCAACCAGTGATGACATCCTTATCTCAAAGACAATATGCTATGTCTTACTCGTGAGTTAGCGTTAAACCAACAAAATGTCTGATCAACTGATGGGCACAAG